GCAGGAGGGCCAGCATGGGCTCGGGCAATAGAGGGGACACTCTACCCTAGCTGGGGACAGTGCAGGAGGGCCAGCATGGGCTCAGGCAATTGAGCGGACGCTCTACCCTAGCTGTGGACAGTGCAAGGGGGCCAGGCATGGGCTCGGGCAATGGAAGGGATGCCCCACCCCAGCTGGGGACAGTGCAAGAGGGCTAGGCATGGGCTCAGGCAATGGAGGGGACACTCTACCTTAGGGAGACAGTGCAGGAGGGCTGGCACATTTGCTGGAGACCCACGGCCCCAGGGGAGGGGAGCTTCATCTCCCCTCACCCAACCTCCCCTCCAGGGCGGACTCCCTACTCCCCACCCTCCCCACAGAAGAGTGAAGCCTCTGCCCAGCGTCCTCCCATAAGGCCCAGCCCCGTGACCAGAGGAGCCGCGGGCCGTGCGGGCCGTGCGGGAAGAACTTACCGTCTTCTTCTGGCTGCTCAAACTCAGCTTCTTCCAATCGGTCTGAAAAAGGAGAGAGGAGAAGCATCACCCTCCAGCCAGCGCCCTCTGTCGCCATGTCGGCGGGCCCACCGGTGGAGGGCCGGGAAGTCGGGTCTTCCAGAGTCTGCCCCTACCCTCCCCACTCCCACGAGAAGGTCAGCTTCTGCTGCCACCCCTCTGGGAACAGTGACACGCTCCCTGCTGAGTGCTTTGCACTGCGGCCCTCAGAGAGATCCTGTCCCAAGTTCAGGGGTGTTGAGGTGAAAAGGGAACAGCATTATCTTTAGGAGGTGGCAGCCCTGGGGTCCAGCCCTGGCCCCCTGTGGCCAAGCAACCCAGGCAGACCCCGGGGGCCCCGGCTCCTTATCCTTGATGGGGAGAAAGGTCACTCTTACACAGGCTGTCACAGCGGGCAGAGGGTCAGGTCCGAGCAGGGCCCCACCAGTGTTGGTGGACACAGAACCAGGCCCACATGCTCTCCCCCGCCCTAGCGGAGCAGAGGGTCATAGGCTGGCGCCCGGAGGCCACGGGGAAAAGCCTTTGCTAAGTCCCCATCCTCAGACAGCAGGGAGCCTCAGCGCCACTTATCTGCGCCTCCCTGGCCCCTTGCCTGCTCCTCTCCCTGTGTCTGGCCTGTCTGCAGCCCCTCCGGCCCGAAGGCAGCGACAGCACCTGTGGGAGGAGCTTTACTTGCCCAGCGGCCGGCACTCACTACTGTCTACTGACGGAGGAAGCAGAGCATCCCCCAAGGGAAGGGGGCACTGGTGTGAAGGGTGGACGGAAGCCTTAACTAGTCCACGCTCCACTGAGCAGACGGCGAAATCTTACAGACCCGGCGTGGACGAGGCAGGGTGAGGCAGCGGCTTCACAGGGCCAATGGAATACCCACGGGGTCAACCCCACGGGAAAGCAGTCTAGCTTCACACCCTTCGTCCCCCCCCAGGACTCTGCCCCAGAACACTGGCCTGAATAACCGGCTGCAGGTGCGATCTGCTGCAGGTCCTCCGGCCCCCCGGCAGCCCCGCCCACAGCCCCGCCCACACCTACCCAGGCTGTACACCGAGCAGACGTCGGTGCTGGACGTCCTCCTCAGTAGCTGCCTGGCCTCCTCCTCAGAAAAGTGGTCTTCGTTGCTGAAGAACGACCTCTCCTCCTCACTAAGAAAGATCGCATTTTCCAACCTGGAAAAAGAAAGTGCTTTATTTAAGATGGCATGTTTCCAAAGTAAACATTTCACAGTCAGACACATCTCCACTCCCTCATTTGACAGATGGTCCCTGCGCACCTACTCTGTGCCAGCAGTGAAAACACCGACATAACGAATAAAAACAAACTAGATCCTGCCCTCAGGGGTGCCTTGTCTGGCCAGAGGCAGACGCCTGGGAGCAGGAAAGGCTGCGACAGGCACAGCGGGTTACAGCAGCCTGGGAGGATGAGCTCCTGGGCAGGCTCCAAAGCCCCACCTCAAATGTCCCTTTCCCTGTGAGGCCGGCGGTGACAGCTGCAGGCAGAATCGATCCCTCCACACTGTGAGGGGCTCCTCATTCATCCTCTGCCGGTGCTTCCCACAGCGCCCGACATGAACACAGGGCACCCGTGTGCTCAGTAAAGCCGGGGAGAGGAAAACAGGAAGGGGCAGAGGGAGGGAAGGAGAGGGGGAGCGGGGAGGCAATTTCTGCTTACAGGACTAAGACCAGCATAATAGAGAACTTTGAAATGTCTTTGGAACCTAGAGGGAGCTATTTTGAGAAGTCAAAGACAACCTCAGAGCAGCTGGTGGGATTCGACATTTGACAGAACAACAGGCTTGTATTCTTCAAAATGTCAGAGTCGGAAAACACAGAGACTGAGGAACTATTTCAGGTTAAGGAGACGAGACTGAAGACACAGGACAACTGGTAACGTGGTCTGGACTTTTCTTTGGCTGTAGAGGGCTTACTGGGACACTGGCAAAATCTGAGTAAGGTCTGCAGGTAACAGCATTAACGTTACTTTCCTGATTTTGACACATGTGCTGGGGTTGTGTAAGTGGATGCTCTGGTTGGAGGAAACACATAGTGCGTTGTTTAGGGGCAAAAGGGCATCGTGTTTGCAACTTACTCTCAAAGGGTTTAGAAAAAGTATAGACGTAAAAGAGAAAAAAGGAGAAAGCAAATGTCACAACGTGTTGACACGTGGGCAGTCTGGGTGAAGGGTATACAGGAACTCTGTGCTTGTCTTGCAACTTTTCCCTATGTCTGAAATTATGTCAAAATACAGTTAAAAAGAAAAAAGAATAGCTCTAGGTTGTTCATTAAACAAAAGATCAAAACCCAAGGTCTAAGATAGGAAAGATGTTCAGGAAACATTTGTTGAGTGAATGAGGGAAGTTGTTGGGGCTTCTCTAGCTGTAATCAGGACCACTGGTACCCGGCCCTGTCACCCTTCTGGGTTAAGGGTGGGGAACAGACTAGCTCACCCACAGCAATTCCAGCTCAGACCCTTGGTAAGTTCAGGACATGTTTACCTCACATGCACCCTGGCCGTCTGTCGAGAAGTTGTGATCTCCCTGGAGATGGGGGAAATTGTCTAGACCAAGGATCCCCAGAGAGTGTTCCACAGAACACCAGCTAATAGGGTTTGTGAGAAAAGGATTCTGGAGCTCAAGTAAGTGTGGGAAACACATTTCAACATGAAAAAGAAACGTTTCCGACTTCTGGGTGCCTTCCTGGTGCTGGGAGTCCCTGCAGACCACCAGCCGGGGCACGTGGAGCACACTTCCCCACCACGTGAGCACCATGGTTTGTGGTGGAGGCTGGGAGGGGACACACTTTGGGAAACCTGCGCTATCTGCCCCTCTTAATATCCGGACCCAGCCAGCTTCAACCTGCTTCTGGTGAACAGTTGCAAGAGGCACTGCAGAGAGACGCCTAAATGAGGGAGCAAAACGACCGGTGGACGCGTCGTGATGCCAAAGCGGCCTCTGAGATTTGGTCTGGGAAGCGTTGGTCTGTCGCAGTGCCAGACGAGAATGAGACCGGGCGTCAGGGCTGGAGGGACATTTGTGGACATTCGCAGGAGGTGAGTTCTGGGGTCTGGTGCTGGCCCGGGAAAGGGTCTTTTCTACACACCAACATTCTGGGGCTCCTTGACTGAGGCCTTAATAATGAAAGGTCAAGAACATAGCTGTGCTCGATGCCCTCTCTTCCAAGGCCCCCTGCTGCTGCCCAGGGCTGGGCCGTGGGGACACGGAAGTGACCAGACAGCCCTCGCTCAGAATTCCTGGATGGAGATGGGGCAGGCACATCATCAGCGGGGCGTGGGGACTCACACGGGGAAAGGAGCAGGGCCGGGAAGAGCGTCCCCGGGGGTGAGCCCTTGGAGATGGGACTTGGGGGCCAGTGAGAGCCCCCAGGAAAATGGGAGGGATGAAGGACATCTTATGTAGGGGGTGCACGTTAACCCAGAGTCATTCCAGAAGGGGTGAGCCAACTTGCACAGCTGGACTCAGGGTGAGCTGATGGCGAGTGGTGGCCCTTAAAATCGGGAGTCACCAGGGCCTGAGCCATGGGGGCCTTGAAGGCCAGGCCCAGAAGATTTGAAGGACTCTATGAAGGGGAGTGGCATGGTGTACTGGGTTGAAGAGTGTCCCCCCAAATTCATGACAACTTGGAACCTCAGAAGGTAACCTTATTTGAAAAAGGGTCTTTGCAGACGTAGTTAGTTAAGTTAATATGAAGTCATACTGGAGTACAGTGGGCCTTACGCCCAATGACTGATATCCTCACAGGAAGAGGAGGGACACACAGACACAGGGAGGAGGCCACGTGAAGACGGAGGCAGAGGCTGGGGTGATGCGGCCTCAAACCCAGCAACGTCTGGAGCCCCCAGAAGCTGAAGAGAGAAGGAAGGACTCTCCCCGAGAGCCCCGGAGGGAGCTCGGCCCTGTTGACACCTTGATTTGAACTCTGGCCTCCAGGCTGTGAGAGAATCAATGTCTGTTGTTTGAAGCCCCAGTCTGGGGCGCTCTGTCATAGCAGACACGGGACTCTGGTGCACACGGACAGCTCTGTGTTTCTGAGAACAACCCCTGGCAGCGCTCGGAGGAAGGATGGGAGGGTCCAGATGGGAAGCTGAAGTTGGCCTTGGGGACAAGGGGATGGCAGCCTGGGCTAGGCCCAGCCCTGGGGAGGGCGGTGGGAGCAGACTCACTGATGACGAGGTGGAGGGTCAGGGGCAGCCGTCCAGGACAATGTCCAGGTCTGTCCCCTAGGAATCTGGTGAACGGCGGCAGGGTTCCCACGGGACAGAGGGGCGGGCTCAGGAAAGGGGGGCCTCAGCCACTCACTCAGACACTTGGCCCTGTACACTGATGAGACTCGTCCGCACAAACCCGACCTCGCCCGAGGCCGCGTGCCGGCCCACGCACCAGGGCAGGCCAGGCACCTGGGCGCCGAGGATCTCGATGAGGTCGCCGCTGCGGAAGGTCATCTCTTCGGGCCCCGAGCCCTGGCAGTCGGCCACCGCCGAGGCCAGGCCCACGGCTGCAGGAAGGAGGCCACACGTCAGGGCCTGGGGGTTGGGGGCCGGGATGGGGGCCGTGGTGGGCAGGTGGGCAGCCCTCAGCCGCCTGGTTGGTGTCCCCAGCTAGGGAACACGCTGTTCTGCTATGGAATTCATCTAGTGTCTGTCGGGGTTGCAATGACGCTTGGCCACCGACACGAGGGGCTGGACATCTACACGGTCCTCAGAGGGGGCAATTTATCCCCATGCTGAGGATGAAAAACTGAGTCCCAGAGGCGTTAATTAACTTGGCCCAGGGCCATTGGCCTCCAAGGCCAGGGGTCTTTCCTCCATCCCACGCAGGCGAGGCCAGGTCCGGGCCCACGAGGGTGAATGCAACTGTAAGCATAAGTCCCACCCGTCCCTCCTCCCATGGGGCCTCATGTCCATTTAACAGGTGCAAGGTCATTCCAACACTAGCCAGCCTGGGGCAGAGCCAAAAGCACTGGACTGGGAGCCCAAGCTCTTTGCAAAAGCAGAGCTACGCCTCCCAGTCCTCCATGAGTGCACGTGGCAAATTTAGCCGGAGCCTGGCCAGTCCCATCCAAGGGTCCTCTGAGGTGCTTAGTGTGGTGCCAGAAAGAGAGTAGTGACTGAGAAAATGCCTGTTGAATGGTCTGTGGAAGCTATACTCAGGAGCTCCTTGGAGGCAAGGTGACCAGAGACCCTGGCCCAGCTTGGCTGTGTGCTGTGTGAGTTTGGACCAGTCAATGGACCTCGCTGAGCCTCAGTTATCACCTCATGAACTGGAGATGATTCTAGCTACCTCTTCTGGTTGGGGAGGAATCAAGGTGAGTGTAGAAGCTTCCAGAATGTTGGTGCCTGCCCCTCCTCCCCCACCTCTTTCCCAGGGGAGAAAGGCCAGTGGAAACATTTACCCATCAGCTGGATGTCTGGTGTCACAGGCCCATCCATGGAGTCATCAACCGGGTCCCAGGGGACCCTAAGAGCCCACCTGGTGTGGGATGAGAGAGGATTTCAGATTTGGGGCAGATTGAAACTCGGTGTAAACTGGACCAGTCAGCAGCCCCCAGGGACCCACGCAGATTACACCACCTGCCCCCACTACACACACACACACACACACACACACACACACACACACGCTTGCCCAGGTGTGCAGTCTTCAAGCTCAGGTGTGTGGCCCTGGCTCCACGGAGCCCCATGCCCCCCAGCCCTGGTGCCTTCTGCCCTTCCTCAGGCTGGCGTCCTTGGGCACCTCCCTCCAGTACCCAGGGAGAGAAGCTGAGCCACCGCCTGTTATTTCATGGACACTGAGCATCAGGAGATAGAGTTTCTCTCTTTGCTTTGACTACCAGGAAGCTCCAAGCCAAGTTTATGCCCTACATTCAGCACACAAACAGGAGCTGACATGTTACCTGTCCTCACCTTCCCCAGGCTTTCTCTGCCTTGGTTATTATTTGCACAGATTCCCATCTGCCTCCTTACTATGGGCACACATTATGTAGCTCCCTCAAAAGCTTTTCAGAATGAGCCAGAATACAAAGCAAGAGCTCCATGCCGCACATTCCTGTGCCTTCTTATCCCGGGACAGCCCTGCCAGGGGGACGTCAGTGTCCTGTCATGCAGGTGGCAGCCTGGAGACCCAGAGAGCCGGACTGACACGCCACGGCCACAGCCTGGGAGGCCGCAGACGGGACTGTGGCCAGGTCTGTCTGGGGCTCCATCCATGCCCCGTGGCCTACGGGTGGACCAGGGTTGGGGGAGCCTCTGAGAGGCCCCGCAGTGCACAGGACTGGCAGGAAGCAGAGAAACAAAACAGGTCGGTACCTACTGATGAAACGGAATCAGAGGTTCCGGAGCCGCCACCATCGCCGCCACCTCCTCGGAGGATGTGCTAGGACTGAGGGCCGTAGAGCCCACTGCTGGGGCCGCCTCTCCCTGGGGACCCCCTGAAGCCCGCCTGGGGGGCTGGGGGCCCCTCCCTGCATCCTGGGGGCCAGTTGTCGCTCTCACATGGTGGTCAGGACACAGGACAAAGAAAGGCCCTTCAAAGCGACAGAGGGTGGTCACTGAGCATGGCTGGACACAGGGCAGCTGTAGCTCTGCCGGGCAGGACCCACCCACCCCCCACCCGGGATGCTCATGTGACGGTGGCACCTGCAGACATCCCCCACCCCAGGCTCTACACCCACAGACACCAGCTGCCCCCAGACACTGGAGGCCTACGGGGAGGCTGGACCTGGGCTGGGGTCCCGGCTCTGCCCAGACTTGCCCTGGGAGCCTCATTCAGCCTCAGACTCTCGTGGCCTTGGTTTCCCCGTCTGAGCTCTTAGGGGCCAGACGTGTGGTCCCAATGCCCTTTCTGCTGGGACCACCACCGGCCGTCCGACTACAGCTGGCCGCCTCTCTTCCTTCCTGTGGCCGGGGCAGGACAGGAGCTTCGTATTCTGTTTGCTGCAGACTCGGAGCCCAGTCGTGAGGCCACCGCGGCGCTCAGAACAACGACCAAGTGGGGAACACGGGGTGGGGATGGCGCGAGCAAAGCCTCTTTTCTGTTACTTCTTTGGGGGCTGACCAGGGTCTTTACAACCAAGTGACAGGGCCCAGCCTTGACTGTCAGCGTCACCCTACATTCCCCTCCCTGCCTGAAGCCCCTTCGGGCTCACGTGTGTGCCAGCCCCTCGAGCCCTCCTGCTGCTCGCAGCCGGGGCACCCCGCATGGCGGGAGCTGGCCACACCACAGCACAGCGCTCACCTTCCTGGAGGAGGAGGCTCTTGTGCGTCCGCGTCAAGGCCTCCTCGTCCACGTGGACGCTGACGGCCGTCTCCTCGTCCTCGTCGGGTGAGAGCAGCCAGAAGGCCTGGTCCACCAGCAGGTTTTCCAGGCAGTGATGTGTGAAGCCTGGGGGAGCCAGACAGGCCCTGGTCACCAGTGGGCTCTGGACGCGGGGCTGGGATGCCCTCACGGCCAGGTGTGGGCTGAGCCCCACACTCACCGGGCCCAGGAAGACACCTTGCCCCGCCCTTAGGGACTCATGGTACTGTCCACAGCCCAGGCGGGTGTCCAGACCATCCGGGCAGTGAATAGACCAGCTATGACCGAGGACAACTTATTTGACCTCCCTGGGCCTTGGGAAGGTTGGGCGAGGACAAGTTACTTCCTCTAGGACCCTCTGTCTCCTCATCTATGAGATGAGACAAGAGCGTTCAAGGAGATCACGTACGCTGGGGGCCTGGCACAGGCCCTGCTCAAGGTGCATAAGAAATTGTCGCTGTGATTCTTATTTTCTACTTCCTCAGGCTTCAAACTGGAGGTGGTGGGGCAAGACTCCCCAGGACATGCAGTTTGCCCCTGCAAATGCCTCGTGACGGAATGGGGAATATTTCAGGAAGAAAGCACTCTGCTCGAGGTTGCAATAACAGTGTCTCGGTCTGCGCTCGGCCGGTCCGAGCTCAGCTTTCCTCAAGCAGAGTCTGCAGTGCAGCGTTGGAAGGAATTTGGAAACTCAGCCCAGTTCACGCTCACAGCACAGACCGTGTGGTCCGCAGCCCGGCCTGCACAACCTCGTTTCTCCCCGAGACAGGGGAGCACACTAGTTCTCAAGCTTTGCAGGACAGGCCGTCGTGGACTAGCCTACTCTGAAGCCCCGATCTGTAACATAAAGTACTTGGAGTGTGACAAGTGTCCTCCAAGGGGAGTCCCCATAGCTTGTTCTGGGAGGGTCGCCACTTTACCAAGAGCGTGGTAGGTGGAAAACTTCCAGATTTCTTCAAAAGTCTTAAATGTCACCACAATCCGATCCTGGTCACTGTGGATGGACAGCAGCCTGGCCGATAACTCCTTACGGGGAAGAAACAGAAATTAGAAACAGTCCCAGGGCTTTGGGGCATCTGACCCTCAGGAGGATAGAGCCACACGACGGAAACATGTCGCACAAGTGACCCTGGTAGGGGCGGCAAGCACAGAGCCGGTTCCTTTACAGCCAAGGCTGCTCCTCTGCTGCTCTCAAGCCAGCTGTGGCTCCCCAGTGCCTGGACCGAGCCCCGCTCCTTCCCAGAGCTCCTATGGTCTCCATGCTCTGGCCCCATGCTGTCTGTGGCTCCTCCAACGGCTCGGTCTGCCTCAGTCCCCACCCACCAGCCACAACAGGCCCTTCCCGCTCAGGCTGCGCTCTTAGGCCTGAGCACCTCAACCTTGCCTCCCGGCCCTCCTGTAGCATCGACTTGGGTTTCCCTCCTAACTCGAGCATCCCCTCTCCCCTGACATCCATCCCATGAACACTCCTGGTGGTGACGGGGCATAAAAATAACACCAGCTGACACGGGAGCACTTGGAACTCCGGCAGTGTGTGTGTGTTGGGGAAGGGGTGTCACCTCCGTTTGACACATTAATAAATAAGGCCCCATTTCTGCTCTGAGGTCTGACCCTCAGGAAGCAGCAGAGCTGGGACTCAGCCACAGAGCCAGCACCCTTCCCCACAGTGCTCCGCCTGGCATCATACAAAGCAGCCCCACGGCAGGGCGCCGTGCTGTGAGCTCGATGCCTGCTGTTCACAGCATCCTCACATCCTCACATCTGCTCCGAGGGGTAAATTCATAACCCGGTATGCGGCTGAGAAAGCTGGGTTCACAGAGGCTAAGGGGCACTGGCCAAGGTCAGGCCAGGGTGACTGCAAGGTCAGATGATGACAGCCCCTAAGGCTCAGGACCTCTGCCATGGGAAAGCCACACGGCCCAGCCCCCTCCTCCGCCATCCTCCTGCCAGACCCTCTGTCTGTGCAGAGGCCAGCAGGGGTGTGGCTCCGTCAAAATCAAACAGAGAACAAGATCAACTCACACAGTCCTTTTTAGTCCCCGTAAAGGAGACTTTACAAGTCCTAGCAGGATGGAGGGTGCATGGAGAAAGGGATGGGGGGACATTGGGAACATGGTGGCTCCCATGGCTGGGGCTGCGGGGTGTGATCTGCGGTCCCTGGAGCCATGCATCCAGGAGAGCAGACGGGGACAAGTCACAGCACCACCCAGAGGCGAGGTCAGGGCACAGCCTTGGCCCCTAGAGGCCTGCACATCAGGGACCCTCCTCCTCCTAGGTCCACCCCCCTCTCCTCCCCTGTCCTCCCCTGTCCCCCTTCTCAAGCACAGAGCCCCTGCACCTTCACTCATCCAGGCTAGTTCCACCCACCTCCCCAGGGCCCCCAGAGGAGCCAGACTCACCCCGAGGACGTGGGCCACCTCCCGGCTGTCATTCTCCAGCAGGCGGAGCCGGCCCCGCAGGGCCTGCTGCAGGCCGCAGTCTGGCAGCCCGCTCTTCCTCCGCACGGCCAGCAGCTGCAAGGTCAGGTCTGGAGGGGGCAGATCGAGGTCGGGCAGTCTGCCGGGCCCAGGCCAGGACTTCTGGGGGTGCCGTCCCTCCCCCGCGAGCCCCCACCTGCAGACATAATGCCGGAGCCCTGGGGCACTGGGCTCAGCGGGGCCTGGGTTCAGGTCCCATGTCATGTGCCTTTGACACATGTGTCATGTGTCATTTTGCACAAGGTTGCTGCTCTCCCCTGAGCCCCACTTTCTTTCTTTGTAGGTGAGTTCCATGCTACCTCCATCCCACAGAGCGAGGAGAGGAAGTGGACTCCTGTCACATCCCAGCACAGGCCAGCACCAAGCAAGCAGTCAGCAAACGGTCCCCAGTCACCGTGACCTCAGCCCTGACCTCTCCCGCTGCCCTGAGCTTCAGACGGGGGCATCCACTCTCCAGAAGACACCCACAGGCCTTCTAGAACTCTCAGTCCTGACCCCCAAACCGGCTCCTCTCCCTTTCTTCCTCATCTCCCAAATGCCCCCATCTCCAGACCTGCTCAGACTGCCAACACCTCCCTCCATCACACCACATGAGACCACCAGCCAACCCCCTGGCTCTACCTGCAAAACCAGGCTGAAGTCCCCCGTTCACCCCTCACAGGGCCTGGCCCCATAGGTTCACCTGGGCAGTTTTCCGTGCCCTGGCCCTCCCTCCAGACAGTCGTCTGGTCCCCTTACAACGAGCTCACCTCCCGCATGCCCCACCTCTCAGCCCTCCCGGGCAGCGCTGGCCACTGGAACTTTCTGCAGTGATGGACATGGTCTCTCTCTGCACTGTCCCACACAGCAGCCACCAGCCTTGTGGGGCCACTGAGCTCTTGAAATGGGGTCAGTGCAAGCGAGGAACTGGATTTTCAATTTTATTTAAGTTAAATTTAAACATAAATCGCCATGTGTGGCTAGTGGCTACTGTATTGGACAGCACAGCTGCAGGGGTTTCCATCTCAGGTAGAATAAAATGCAAATTTTTGCCCCCTTTCCACTGGCACAGCCTTGAGCCTCTGGCCCTGCTCCCCCGACCTCTTCTCCCCCTCCCCTCTAGTCTGTTCTGCTGCCCTAAGACATCAAGGCTCCCCACCTCACCCCAGGGCCTTTGCACTCACCACATCCTCCACCCGAAGCACTCTCTCCCAGACCAGATCCTGGCCTGGCTGGCTGACCAGTGATTCATACCTCTGCTCAGATGCCGCCCCCCAACCCCCACTCATGTCCCCCTGAGAGGCCTTCTGGACCATGCTACAGGGATCCTCAGAACACGGGCTGCTCTAAAGTGGGGGAAAGTGGATAAGGGGAAGACGGAGGAAGAGGAGAGGGGAGAAGGAGGGAAGGGGACGGAGAGAAGGAGGAGGAGGGATAGAGAAGGGAGGGGAGAGGAGGAGACGAGAAGGAGAGGGGGAGAGGAGGGAGAGAGGTTCCCCACAACCTTTGAGTAAGCCTTGCACCTGTCTTAGAACTTTCTAGCTAGGGGACCCTGCAGCAAACATCCCCACGCCCTCCTGCTGGTACAGGGCCAGTGGCAGAGCAGTAAGGAGACTTCTGATATCTGGAATCAGGCCCACTCTCCCAGCAGGAAGCTGGGCCAGCATTTCGCAACTAGTTCTGAGATGTGACCCTCCTCCTCCCGTAAGAGGGCGGAGTTGTGTTGTCAAACCCAAAATAATCTGCCACGTTGCTCAACGTGTCCTGGTCATCCCAGGTGACCACAGGCAGCGCTGACCACCAAGAGGAAAGTTGGAGGACAGGTGGTGTTGAGGAAAAGGTGGGCTGCCAACAACGCTGGGGTCTCCATGCCCCCCACGCTGGGGGTCAGGAGGGGGGTCTCCAGGGGAAGGGGCTTCTTACCGCCTCTGGAGCCCGGGTGCTGCCCCACTGCCCAGGGCTGCATCCACCATCTGTGGAAATCCTGCCCGTCCTCGGAACTCCTTCCCCAGAAGCCAATCCCTGATGCCCCCAGGGGTCCCTTTCCCTCCCTCTGTGTCCCCCACAATACAGGGGGCTCTTTGGTGTAGTTTTAGCATGTCCACCTGGGACCCCTTCCCAGAGCGTCACTCGTGGGGTCTCCCTTCCTCTGCAGGTGGCCTCCAGGGCCACGTCCCCTCCTTGGGCTGGGCAAACACAGAGTCCAGGGGAGCCCTTTGCAAATGCAGGAACCCTGGCCTTCCAGCCCCAAGTCCTGGGCCCCAACCCAGACTGGCTGAGTCAGAGCCTGGGTGCAGGACCTGGGCACCTGCATTTAAAAGCCCCTCCCCCCCACGGTGATCTTCAGGCAGGAAGTCTGGGGGCCCCACTCTGAGAAGCCCTCGGTTAGGCATTCCTGAACCTGAAGTCCACGGGACAGTGGGGGCCGGAGGGAAGGAGGGTGCCCAGGATCCCACATTCACGTCCCCAGGACAGATTTCACCCTGCTGTGTGGCGGCGTAGTGTCCGCGGCTGCCTACCTGTGGGGTACGCTCCTATCCGGCCAGGAGGGGTCCCGGCTGCCGGCGGAGAGACACCACGGGGAGGAGCCACATCTGGAACAGAGCAGGTTTGTGTGATGAAGGTAAAAACAGCAACTCTCAGCCACGCAGGCCCCAGACCCCGGATACATCTGGAGGAGAAGAGGTGTGTCCACACCCCTACAACCACGTTCACACACGTTCTCTTCCTCCAGCGTCACAGAAGCCCCTTGAGGAGGGAAGTGTCCGAGCTGCCCGTTGTGCAGTAACAAATCACCCCGAGCTTCGTGGCTCCTGAAAACAGCCCAAGTGTTTCATCTTGCTGTTCTGCAGTTGGAGAAGGCTCGCTGGCTGAGGTCAAGGTGTCCGCAGGGCTGGTTCCTTCTGGAGGCTCCAGGGCAGAATCCATTTCCTCACTGTTTCCAGCTTCTAGAGCCACCTGCATTCCTTGGCTCGTGGCCCTTCCTCCATCTTCAAAGCCAGCAGCACAGCATCTTCGGTCTCTGATTCTGACCCCAGGATGACCCCTGCATCTCAGGATGCCTAACTTGGTCCCATCTGCAAAGTCTCTTTTGCTGTAGGAGGTAACATGCGTACGCAGAGGTTCTGGGGATTGAGACGTGGGCCTCTCCGGGATCCATTATTCTGCTGACCACAGTGGGGAGGTGACAGCCCAGCAGGAACTCGGGGCTCTGGGGCAGACAGAGCTGCGTCCTGATCTGGCTGCACAAGTCACTCGTGGGGGTGACATGTGTCCTCTTGGCCTTGTGAGGCTGGTAGGGTGTGGCTCACAGCTGGGTGAGGTTAATGAGATACCTGAAGTGCAGGGTCATCGAGGGGCAGCTCAGTCCTCTGCTGGTCGTCCCCCTCCCCCAGCCCCCATCCTCGAGGCCAGCTCCCAGTTGGCATCTTGGCCAGAGCACCTCGTCTCTGCCCTGCTCAGTTTCCTCATCTGTAAAACGGGATGAGCCAACTGGGGCCTTAGGATCAAGGTGGATCTGACTTGGGAAAGCCTGTGGTTCGGGCAGAGGGTGCTGGACGTCAGTGCAGCTGGTCTTCATCGCCTCCAGGATGTCCAGCTCAGAGCCATGGGCACAGTGCTGCCACATCGGCCTGGGTCTGTGCAACACAGTGGTGCTCATTTCTGCTCTCTTCCCACCAGCGTCCGTTGACCACCTATGGTATACCAGCCCCATGCCGTGTCGTTGTCCGTGTGGTCAGAGCCCATGTCCAGAACTTACTTGCTCTGTGTCCCCAGGGCCCTCCTCAGAGCCGGACACACAGCGGGGGCTCAGAAATGCCTGTCAAATCCAAAGAACGGCACCCAGATCTTGGCTTTAAGCACCATCCTCCAATTCGGAAGCAGGGCTCCTTGGAGGAATGGCCAGTCCCAGGGCTGGGGCAGGGGAGTGCAAGACGAGACCTGAGCATCTTGTGGTCCCAGAAAGCAGACATGCTCACAGAATGACGGAAATACGTCAAAAGACCAAATTGGGGGCAATGTGAACAAGAAAGTAAATAATGGTGGCGGCTGATACAGTCCAGAGAATAAAATACAGGTCTACAAGCCCACATTAAAATGGATAAATGAATAATTGGGGAGAGGGCCAGCTCTTCCTTACAGGAGAAAGTCAATTAGTAAATGCAGAAAGAATGAAGCATTAGAAAGTCACCATTAGCAACCATCATAATAACTACTATTTCAGTCAAGAACCGTGCGTGGATGATAAAACTAAGGCCTTAGAAGTTTGAAGAGGAACAGGATCTTCATACAGTCTCAAAGGACCTTCCCACAGGCTACTTACTAACGACAGAGGGAAGAACAGTGACTTTACGGGGGAGAAAACTGCCAAACTGTGATGAAAATGCACATCACCAGGATGGAGACAAACCGACGTCACGGGCCTGCTGGCGTGTTGTACTGAGGGGACATCCCACTTCCGAGGCATTCCTGCCCAGAACTCCTGACTGTAGTGGTGAAGAAAATCAGCTGAACCCACACCGAGGGATGTTCTACAGAATAACTGGCCTGTATTCTTCAAAATATCAGCCTCCAGATTAAAGGCACTGCAGAGATATGACGACAGAACGCAAGGCCTGCCCTGGGGTTTTCTTTTGCTATAGAGGATGTTGTTGGGACAGATGGTGAGATCTGAATGAGGTCTGTAGATCAGAAAACAGTACAATTTAAACCAGGAAAGTAATGTTGGCAGCATGTTGCACCGTGGTTCTGTAAGAGCGTGTCCTGGTTTTAGGAAATACACACGCCCAAGTATTTGGGGATAATGGGCATCACGTCTGCAATTGATCAGAAAAATATTTATCTATAAATACAGAGAGAAAGCAAATGTAGTAAAACGTTAACATTCGAGGAACCTGGGTGACAGTAAGTGGGAATTATTTGTATTATTTCTTGTAACTTTTGTTGTCAGGCCAAAATTGCCAAAGGAAATCTCAAAGACGAAGGAGCTCCGGGTGGGTGCAGTGCAGCTGGGCCAGCCTCCTAGGAAAGGAGAAGTTCGCTAACTCCCATCGGCTGGGCTCTCAGATTCATCCCCATGCCAGTCTGGGCTGTGGGGCAGCTAGGGCAGGAAACACCTGGCAACACGGTCAGAATGCTTCCTATCCGGACCACAGCACGAGAAGTCGGCGATCCCCCGCTCTAAAATTCTCAGCCCATCCCTGGGCTGGGCTGCCACGTGGGAGGCTGGTCCAGCCCACGGGTGTCTAGTAGGACCCAGCTCCTTCTTTCCTGTCCTGGCATGCTCTGGAGGCACCAGATTCTATGCCATGGGTGGGCTCCCCAGCCCAGGCCCCCACAGCTCCTCCAAGCACCCCTCCAGGCCAGGCAGGTGTCTGACTGCAGGACCACTTCCCATTGTGAGTCAGCATCCACGAGGGCCACCCTGGCCCTTCCCATCTCCACTCACACCGGAAAGACCAAACTAACAGGTATAAAAATACCTCCAATTGCCAAGCACGGACTGTGTCAGGCCCTGTGTGAGGTTCTGTCTCCATTCTCCTATGCTTCAATCATTCGTTGATCATTCAAATACTTATTGAGCATCTACTGTGTGCCAAGCCCTAGAGCCCCAGTGGACAGCTAGGCAGTGTCTAGGATGAGGGTGGATGACGTGACGATGGGGAAGCCTGGGGAGGGACAGGAGCCACAGGCTGTCCCTGGCCCGGGGAGGGTTCTGGGCACACCTTGGTCTCCCCCTGTCCTTCCCTCCTCTCCTCCAGGGCCCAAGGAGGTAGAAAGAGGGGTCCTGGAGATTACCTATGCCACCCCTTAGGTTTCCAAGTGGGGAAACTGAGGCCCAAGTCAAGCAATGGCCCAGCGACAATCAGGATTAGAACCAGGTCTTCGGACAGCCAGCCCCGCCTCCCTTCCCCATCACAGCCCCTCCTGTGCGGTGTCTGGGCTGGTTGGGCGGGAAGTGTCTACACCGGTCACACCTGCTCAGCCTTCTCCTCCCCTGCCCCAGTCCTGGTCTGCCCAATTGTCCTCTCCCTCTCTGGGCCCTAGTTTGCCCCCCGGGGAACGAGGGATGCCCCATCCTGAGTAATCCCGGGGTTCATGTCCCAAGGACAAAGCAGGACTGTGGGAATGCAAACGTTTGTGAAAGAGCTATAAACGCATCCACGCAGCCATTCTAGAATTTCCACAGCCGTTCTAGAATTTCCAAGCCCCTCCCCTGTCTCCACACCAGTTTTATCACAGACGGACCCCTGGACAAGCACGAGCTGGGCCTTCTTCACTCGTGGAGGACTCACTGGGCAGTCATTCCCTTTCAACACACACACTGGCAGTGCACACATCGCTCCTCCCGTGGGCGGGGTGGACGATGGGGTGGACCGTGCACCCCGCACTCACCGCCTCTGACCAGGGCCTTGGCTTCCTTAGGCCCTGCTTCCTCCCAGCCGACTGACGAGCTCACGGCCACTCTCCGGACCTTGTCGCCACTGCCACTGCCTCCCAAGGGCCCTCCAGGCCCCCTCCCGTTCAGGGCTGGCTTCTCTGTGGCCACCTCTGCTGGGTCCTCCATGACTGGCAGTGTCCTCAGCACCAAGGACTGGGCACGCCCGGCTGGGCCCTGTGGAGAGAGCAGAGGGTAGTGGTCAGCAGTGACGGCCTCTCTGGGAAGACAGGCCGCTGGGGTCAACACGAAGTTGCCATCAGAGTTGGGGTCAAGAGGAGAGAACACCTCCCCTCTGCCTGGTGGACCCCTGCGCATCCTTTCAAGCTCTGCTCGCCGGTCTCTTCCTCTCCCACCAGGAAGATGCCTCGCCCACCGGGTTGGGCATCCATGCAGGTAGGTGGTGTACCCATTCTTGCTCATCAACAGACCCCGAGGCCATAGCTCAGGGCCTGACATTCCCAGAACGTTACTGCAATCGCCGAGACGACGTGAGAGCAATGAGGATGGTGCAGGGGCCGAGCAGAGCGGACGTGTCGTCGGACACGTGGCCCCACGGGTTTGAGATGAGCCCCTGACGCGTCCACCCAGCTCGGGCTGGAACGAAGATGCCCCAGAGACACCTCCTCTCCCGAGCTGCCATTTGTTGCATTTCACACCAGCCTCAGCTGCGCCGTGATTCCCCAGAGCCCCAGGGGCCCCTTATACGACCCCTGTGGCCTGGGCTGGCTCAGCAGGCTCCAATGCTCCCACCGGAAGAGGCCTGCGCTCTAGCGGGGTCCCTGGAATGCCTTCCTATTTGTCGGGAAATGGGCCATGTCCCAGGCTGCCCTGGGAGGGAAGAAAGGAAGTGGGTGGCAGAGGGCAGGGGAGGAGGAAGTGTCTGAGGAGGAACCAGCGACTGCTCCCCACCCGGGGTGCCCCCGGGCCTCCCCACAAGAGCCAGACATTATGTCTCACTGTTTCCTGGGGTTGGCTTGGTCACCAATTAGAGGGCGCAGAGCAACACAGAGTCCCTTTTCAGGCCTGGATCTACGGGGCGACTGGGAGGGAGGGGCGGGCGTCCTGGGCCAGGGCCCAGGAGCGAAGGGCAGACCCCCACTGTGGCCACAGGGACCAGGATCAGCCACGTCCACCCTCGGTTTCCACCTTGGGGACAGAGGGGACAAGGAACGGCCCTGCTCACTCATGCAGAAGGTCAGTTAAGAGCCTGACTAGGACGCACGAGCCAGGAAAGCCCCTCACTTCGGGCCTCGCTGCCCTCTGATCACGAGCTGTGAGATTTCAACTTACAACCCAGAACAGGCCGGTGGGAATTCTGTCTGCATGGAGCAGAGGGCACAGAGACAGCAAATCACAGTTCTGACCCACTCTCTGGGGACAAAAATACAGTGGAAAAGCAAGTCTGGCCTCATCCTGGCCGGCCCCACTTTGTGGCAGATGCTGGGAAGCAGGCTGCCCAGCGGCAGACCCAGAGAACACCAGGCCCAGGAGGGGGCTCCGAGCCCAGGGGTGTCCGCCAGGCCTGGACCCCAAGAGCCCCCAAGAGCCCCTGTAGTCCCATCTCCCAGCTCCACCCTGGTGCCATGGCGGGGAACGGGCAGACGGGGAGGTGGGCGGGGGCAGCTGTAGAGACATCGTGGGTCTGGGGTGCAGACACGGGGCACAGGCTGTGACAGAGGAAGCAGGGCCCCCACAGCATTGAGCGCCCTGAGAGCAGAGGGGAGCCAGCGAAGCACTTGAAACCCAGAGTAAGGGGTTCGGTTCAATACCTCTGGAATTTCGTTCCAGTATCTGGGCAGACAGCATCGAAGGGGGGGACCGGAGGTGGGAGCTGCCACAGGCCTTGGCTTTATGGCCCGCCTCAGATTTTCACCAGAAACAAGGGGCAGCTGGACCTTTATTAGACCCAGCAAGTGATACTTTCAGAAGTATTCACAGAACCCGGTCCACTTCAAAGCCCCTGCCCGGCCCTCTTTCCAGGCTCCCGACCCAGGAGCTGGCCAGGCCCCAGGGACTGGAGACGGACCCAGGTCAGTCCCAGGACAGCGGCGACTCTCACAGGTGCAGGCTCCCAGACAGCCTCGGACACAAGTCTGTGTCACCACCTGCACGTGCCAGGTGGCTCAGCCAGGTTCATAGCAGCCCACGGGAAAGGCACATCTCCCCATTCCACAGGCGGGAACCTG